TAGAATTGAGTCAATATCTTTGTCCGGATTACAAGTCCGGACAATACCCCGCTCACAACTTAACCGATTTAAAGTAATCCGGACAATACATTGCCCAACCTTTGACCGGTTTAAAACAATCCRGTCAATACACCGCCCAACTCTTGACCGGTTTAGACAAGATCCGGTCACCTCTTGACCGGTTTAGGGATGACTCCGGACAACAGTTGAGCGGTTTTATAATCCGAATGAAACTGTCCGAATATCAATCCGGTCAATACATGGACGGTTTAAGGAAATATCCCCACAATATGAACTATAAACCATAAATAACATGTTTTAATAACTACTGAATTGTATGCAAACAACTATACTCAAAGCTTTAATACGCTCACCTTTGATTGTGAGTTTTGACTTCAAATATGCAAATCCTCCTTCAGTCTTTACTCTCAATTGATTTTTGCTTCCCAGAATATTTAAAAAAATAACTATTACCTTTCATTTCATATGCACTTGCTATTTATAGCAAGTGCAGGAACCGCCTCTTCCCCAACTCTACTTTCACGCATAACACTATATATATATATATATATATATAATATTAATATAAACATAAGATTTAAAATATTCCAAATAAAATAACCCGGATATTTCATATATATATAATTTTTTTGAGTTTAGATTGTAAAATAAATGTTTCTCATGTTGTAGAATAAATCAAAGAGAATGACGGAAGCAAGGTTGTCAAAAAATAGGATCTAGCACAAATCGGGACCGACTTTGTTCAGGTTTAGGGCTAACAACCTTGAAGCTACCGGACATGTGGCTCCTTATCTCAGTACAATTGCCGAGACCACTACAAGTGAAGACCGTAAAGTAAGTAAACTTGAAGTTTTGTTTTCTTGCGGTCATAATTTTTATATTTTTCTTTTCCTTCGCTGTCCAGCATCACTTTTTCACATTTGACACCCGTTTTAGCTTAGATTTATCCTGAATTTACAGAAACTCAAAACTTAAAAGTTGTAGGACCATTTGTAAGTTTTCCAGATCATCTTTAATCACTTAAATCCGAGCTCGGATGAATGATATATGCTCGAAATACCATAGTCTCACAAGGCTGTCAAAAATTATTCTTTTATTCCTTTTTCGTTCCAACTTTTCCAAACCTTTAAAAATATAAAAACACATTATTGTAGTTCGTTTTTTACCATTTCAACTCATTAATGAGGGATGATTGATGGGAAATATATAATTTTAATCAAAACAATTGTTTGAATCGTATCTACAGAAACTTGTTGAGGAAGAGATTGAGAAGATTATGAACATTTTTATGGCACTCCGGAATCTGCTGGGCCTCCAATTCGTTGCCCACTCGAAAAAGAAATATCAATCATCGAGCAAATTGTTGGTCCGTCGGTAGGTACGGTTGTTCGAGGCATGGTAGCTTGGCGGTTCGACCTGCGAGGATGAGAGGACCGGCGAAGGGATTCTCAAAGTCGGTATCTGCAGTTGACGAGGAAGATTTGCGACAACAACTTGCCGAGCATGACGAGGAGATTCACTTGTTAAAAGAGGGACAACATGAGGCAAAAAAGGAAGCCGCAGAGCAAAGAATGATGATACAATCGTTGATGACTATGTTGGGTGCTAGTGATTCAAACTCTAACACAACAACCCTGACCTCTCACGCTTTAGGTTAAGTTTTTAATTTTGTGTTATTGAACCGGTTGCCTACTTTTAGACTTATTTAGAAAAAAATTTATCTTTCAATGATTGAACTTATTAATTTTGTTTGGTTATAAAAGTTGTTTGTATAAAACATTTGGTTGTTTGTTTGCTTGTTTGAGATTCATTTTGTTGAAAGTGTGCAAGAAAAAAACTGCATCATGGTACACAAAAATCTTAGGCAACAATTGAACAATATAAATTTTGCCTAAGAGAAATTTTATATTATGTTAATTACAGTTCAAAGGCAATATATCTAAATAGAGTATGTTGTCTAAGCTGATATCTAAGGCAACATATTCAGATAAAGTATGTTGTCTAGGCGGATATCTAACGCAACATATGAAGATGGAGTATGTTGTCTAAGCTGATATTGGATGAAACATATGTTTTTTACTTAGGAAACATAACCTTTTGTGTGTTGCCTAAGAAGTAGTCAACATATTCTCTTTGCATATGTTGCCTTGGTTCTTATGCAACATTGAGAAGGCAACACGGGTTTGGTGCATAAGCCTTACGCAACATATAAACCCCTCTTAGGCAATAATTTTCATTTGTTGCCTAAGTGGCATTTTGAGGTAGTTCCCTTAGCATCCTTTTAATATCACGCATCCATGCAATAAGCATAAAGCAAACTATTCTTTTGCCTTTTACTAAAGAATATCGTGTGCTCATTGCTCATAGTGGCATACACCTATTTTTGAAGTGCTCATTATCAATTATGTATTTGAAATATCCCACTCTTAGATAATGATCACCAATATAGAATTCTAAGACCAGTTAACATCTTTCTAATGATATATACCGAACATACATCGTTCATAAACACCACCAGAACCAAGCCCCATAAAAGTTATGTAGATTGTACATCTTGAAACATACTTACCTAGATGGGATCACTGAGTGATCAATAAGACTCATGGTTTAGGTTGGTGGATTCTATTTCACTTTGGAGGGTGCTAGCCTAAGGTTGGTCCAAGTTGTCGAACCGATGTCATAATTTGTGATGCTGGGGGCTGTGTTCGTGCTGCCCCTATCCATCTTTAAGTAAAAAAATATTATCTTAATTCTCTGCACATCTTTAAAATGGTGCCTTGATTGGCTAGTCTGACTAAAGATGTACAAGTCTTGGGTTTTTATGTGCCTGGGTCTACCAACCCTGTTTTCATAAAGCAGTAGAGAAGGATCGGGCTTGTCTGCCTTTGGGGTTTGAGCTTCTTCATTCTCAAAGCTTCTTCATTCTTGTCTGTATTTTTCTTGATCGGGTTTTTTTGAGCTTAACCGTGACTTTTCAGGCTAGGCCCAATCATGTCGTCATATTCTTTAAACAAACTTTATAGAAAATGATAATTCATTCAATCTCATTAGTAAAAACATTCAGAATAACCTACAAGTAAGAGCTCTCATGCCTAACATTTTTTTTAACAATTGAGTTGAGTCTCAATTAGGTTTCTAACCTTACAAGATAGATTTATTTATCTTGTTTTCTTTATTTTAGAGAACATATAGAAATTATGTCGAAAAAAATGGAGAAAGAAATCTTTATTTTCTTTTATTTAAAGGATCTGTTGGAGATGTTCTTAACAACTTATGTATAATAGACAAATAAGCACCAAAAGAAATTGGTATGTTAAGACATTCACAACCACCATAATAAAAAACTTAATGATGAGATTATTAAATATTTAAGAATTTATATGAATAACAGCTACTATCTTATACAAATATGTTACAATAAATTGTCGAGATGAAGTTAGATAACATAACAAGTTCCATTTCTTATTATATAAGAAGCTATTTGAATGAAGGACAACTAAAATATAAAAATAAATAATATTATTAGCCTTTTATAGTGTCATAATAAAGTGTTCTAAGAATCAAGCGCAATAATGGGACACATAAATTTTGAAACATGAGTATAAGAGCCGAGAGAAAAGAATCTAATAGGTTCGGCTTGGGGGAGCCTTCTGATTGACTGCTCAATTGTAGCTTGGTTGAGAGTATCGGGTCTTCAATTAGGGTTGATATCCTCAACTATAAATAACATCAATTTATTTGTAGTTATGATGATGAACAAGAACTCAAACATCAAAATATTTGTTGTAAAATGGAAGATGAGATTAGTTAATTAAACACCAAAATTAGGGAGTTTAAACAAGTAAAATATAAGATAAGTTAGTGTTCGCACCAAATCTCTCGCTTGAAAGTATAAGAGTGATCTTGATATATAAAACAAAGTTCTCACAACACATAAATACGATGATTTGGAAACCAAAAATCTATTCAAGATAGGGATAAAAGATAACACAAAGATTTATGTGGAAACACAAATCTGGAAAAAAAACCACGGATATAGTGGTGAAATAAGAGTTCAGACTTCAACACATTGATAAGAAAATGAAACACGTAGCCATATCTCAACCTATTTAAGAAGGTGATTGTAGAACGTTTAACATACTTACCTGGACAGGATCAATGAATGATAAAAAAGGCTCATGGTCTAGGTTGGTGACTTCCATTCACTTAGGAGGGGTCCCCATTTAAGGTCGGCCCAAGTGGTCGAGCCTACGTCATAAATTGTGACAGTGGGGCAGCGTTCGCATGGTCTCCTCCTAATTTTGAGTTTTTAATGCTTTTTCAAGATTCTATTTCATTTGATTACCATGTAAACTAGTCTCTAATTGAAATTCTTGACAATTCTTTATTGGGTTGGTGAGAACAATCATCTTTTTTTGGTAAACCCAGCAACAAAGTAGGTGAAATCGAACAGACCACATAAGCCGAGGTGGTTGCCAACATCTTCTCAAGGACAATATTTTATACATAAATTACTATCGAATTAAATTATTTCCGATAAGCTTGGCTGAGAGCATTGGGTCTTCAATTGATTTGTAACTTTGAGGTTGGGCAAGACGTCGAACATAAAAATACTTTATATAGAAGTAAAACAAAAGATAGGATTAGATAAGTGAATACCAAAGTTAGAAAGGTTAAACAAAGTCAAACATGGGATAAGTTAGTGTCTATACCGAATTTATGACTTGAACACACAAGGGTGTTCTTGGTATTGAAAATAAAGTTTTCACAGCACATAAATTTGACGATTGAGAAACCGAAATACAAATAGATGAGAACACCAAGATTTATGTGGAAACTCAAAATGGAGGAAACCATGAGTGGAAGAACCAAGAGAAATCCACAAGTGAAGAATGAATTTTACAATGTTATTGAAGGAGATGAAGCTCAACTATTGCAAGTGTGTGAATGGAGATGGAGATTAAAATGGTAATGATAATATAATATACATGTTCATCTCTTGGGATTTTATCATAGGAATGATGGAAAAATATAAGAGTAAGGGAGAGAGCATGTGAAAGAACTTAGGATCGCGAGGGACCGGGACTGATTAGGAATGATAAGGGATCGATAATGGTCTAATTATCTGGAACGGCTACGATTTTTCTGTCGATACAATTAAGGCCCGGGCCGATCCAGGCTTTGGAATTTTATTTGAAAAAACCAGGTCAGGCATGGATTCATTTGGGACCGGGATGATTGTTGGGACTAGGATTGGTCCTTGAAGTTTTGGTTGAGATCATGATCGGCTGGCTCGGTTACACTCGAACCACCTGGGGCTTGGTCCAACACGGTACCGGTTTTTGGCCATCTCTAGAATGCTAGATAGGTGAAAGTCTTGGTTGTGAAAATTTTAGGTTCCAAGAGGCATGGATGCATGTAGAGTTGTAGACAAAGAATATCGTGTGCTATTCTTTCCCCTTCTACTAAAGAATACAATGTGGTTGTTGCTCAAAATGGCATACGCCCAGGGCTGGCCCAAAGCTTTTGGATGTCGTGGGCGGAAAGATTAAAAATATGCCCCAACCAAACAAGATACAATAAATTCTACTATGTGTTAGTCAAATTTTATTATATTAATTTTATTAGTTTATGCAAATTCTACACATAAATTTTGTTATAATAAGTTTATAACATATTTGAACAAACAATATACAGATAATTAAATTTCTACTATATGTTAATCAAAATTCATACGAATTATTTAAATTTTATTTAAACATAAATTTTAGCTTTGATACCAATTGAAAAGTCCAGATTTCATACGAATGTTGAAGTAATCTTCATCAAATCTCAAGAACAAAGATGAATGTAAGATAGATTGGAGAGAGASAATTACTTTGCTGTCAAATMACCTTTTCTGATTAATGACGTAATCAATTGTGTAATTACAATTACAAAGAAAAGACTATTTATACTAAGGAAATAAAACTAAACTAATTACAATTAAGCTAAGTAAATGGAGAAACTTGAATACAACACTTTAGCTCTAATCTTGAACCCAACATATTTCTTTTTTATATTCGTGAATCATAATATGTATATATGTGTGTGTGTCATTTTTATGTTTTATTATATATATATATATATATATATATATCATATATGAACTAATATAAGTATAATTTATAATATAATATTAAGAAATACTATAACTAAAATAGCATATGTGATCAAATATATTAAAAATTATATAGACATCAAACTTGCACAAATATTAAATACCAATAACTCGGTTGGTGTAGAATTGATCAAATATGTTTCACCAACAACGGTTGGTGTAGAATTGTAGTGAAATTGTGTGAAAATTGAAATAAAAATGGGATTTTGATGATGATGAGATATCCTTTACCGAACAACAAATCCACACCCAATTTCTTGAATAAACATGTTTGACAAAATTATACAAATAACAAAAATAATAAGTTTTTAAATATTATTATAGGGTCTTCTTAAAATAATAAGTTATACAAATATTCATGGTGCTATTAATTTTATTTCAAAAAAAATATTTATTGTTGCAAAAGCATGACAAAAATGAACTTTAAATTTTAACCGGAAGTGAAAATAAAGAAAACGGGGAATAGGGAGTGAAAAATTAAAATGGAAATCTAGAAAAATATAAACAAAATAATCTCTAGCTTATTGGTAAAAGCCTTTTGATAATATTGGATGACTTGGATTCAAATCTTTCTAATAACAATTTTATTTAATTTTTAATGACTATACTACAAGTTGGGCTATTTGATGCCCTTGGGCTTGGGATGTTCTGTGCCGCCGCCCGGGCTGCCCACTCATAGGGTTGGCCTGCATACGCCTATTCTTGGAGAGGTCTTCATTTATTTGAATGCCCCCTAGAGGTTGTAGTTTTAAATATACATTATGCAGTTGAAGAGCTTAAAAATTCCGAGTTATTAATTATAATTTAATTCAAACTTTATAAGCTATAATGATTTACAAAAATATATAAAATATTTGGCTCGTTGGAGAAAAATTAATCGAACTTACGATTGTCAAGTTGAACATTAGTGTTAAAAAGCATAACTTGCCAAGTTAAATGCATTTTATCTTCGAGATTGAGTCCATCTTTGGAATTGCTAAAGCTCGTGCTTGAGTATCTCGTTAAATGCTACGATCATTATCATGTTGACTAATATGGAAGTTTTTTTACCGTATATAAATATTATATATACTTAAAAACAAAATGAAGCTCTAAAACATGGTCTCACAGGACGAAAAACGAGTAAACAACACCAAAACCAATCCCAATAAAGTCTTGGCATGAGTATTAGGTTGGTTATTTATGGTTAGATCGTTAGGGTGTCATCCCACATTGAAAATAAAATAAAACATGTAGCCATGTCTAAACCTATTTAAGAAGGTGGTTGTAGAACGTTAAACATACTTACGTGGACGGGATCAATGAGTGATCAAAAAGGCTCATAGTCTAGGTTGGTGACCTCCATTGCACACATGAGGGGTGCCTGCCTAAGGTCGGCCCAAGTGGTCGAGCCTATGTCATAATTTGTGGCAGTGGAGGACAGCGTTCGCGCTACCTCTTTCCTAATTTCGAGTTTTGAACATTTTTCAAGCTTCTAATCTTCTTTATTCTTCATGTAAAATGGCATCAAAATGAATTCTTCTGGTAAAATGGCCTCAAAATGACATTCCTGACATCGTCTTTTGAAAATTGAATAAGCACATCTGTAACACCCCAAATTTTCTAAAACAAAGCGGAAACTGGAATTTAATATAAATTGACCAACACGAAAAAAAAATACAACATTAACAAAGCAAAAAGAAAGACATTAAATTACAACCTATTAATCTACACAATCCTATATCTAGATTAAAGTCGGGTGTTTCTATTGCCTCCAACAAAATGCCGAATAGTTCAATACTTCAATATTCCAAAACACCAAAAGCCTTAGTTACACAAGGAGCCCCATTTTCGAGACCACGCTCCCCTCAACCCATTATAGTCCCGCCGCTAAAAAGAACCTGACAACACGTCATTTCAAAAGAGAGTGTTAGGCTTACGCCTAGTGAGTCCAATCAATAACATAAAGGTAACTATAAGACCTTTATGTGAATATATATATATATATATATATATATAGATAGATGGATGACGTAATTTTAAACGATATAAGAAAAGCAGTTAAACCACAATATCTCGCGGATGAGTCAAAACATCCGAAGATGACGGGGGAGACCCGATTTACCGTTGATTATGACAGACACAAAGTAAGGCATAGATCAACGTTATAGAGCATCACTTACCGGTATAAAACCATCGACATCAACCTAAACCAGTCATGTAGTCGGTCGTGATCTTAAGCTCTTTACCTCGGTAATTACACAATAATCACAATGCCTATTACCGAGTGAAAGTGAGAGGATGATTTGGTGATTACATAATAATCACAATGCCTATCACCAACTTACACCATCATTCCCACGAATAAAATAAAACATTATACATGCTCTATATAAATATAAATAATGACGTAGTATCGTACGACATTTATATATATAGAAAATGAGTCATAAATAATACGTGGGAGTTTCAAGACATCCGAAGATGACGGGGAAGACCCAATTTACCATTATTTATGACGGAACACAAAGTAAGTCATAGATTAACGTTATAGAGCATCACTTACTGGTATAAAACCATCGACATCAACCTAAACCAATCATGTAGTCGGTCGTGATCATAAGCTCTTTATCTCGGAAATTACATAACAATCACAATGCCTATTACCGAGTGAAAGTGAGAGGATGATTTGGACTTTACATAATGATCACAATGCCTAAGTCCAACTTACACCATCCTTCACACAAATACATGTACGACTCTTCATGCCTTATGACTCGTTACATTAAGGTAAACTACTTAAATAGGGTATCATGGCATAATAGTACTTATTTAACAATAATGCTTCACATGGGCCTCAACTCAAGCATAATATTCCTTATTTCAACTAAAGAATCCCAAACTCCGGGTATGGAGCTTTTAAAGTTCAAATACCAACAATACTTTGTTAGGAGCATCTTACTAAATGTTTAAAGTCATTTGCCCCAAATTCAACTTTTCTTTAATAAAGAGATTTCCAAGTGCATCCTTTTGACCCAAGACTAACCATTTTCCCTTAAGTGAATATGTGCAGCAAATTAAGGCATAAGATAGTAAAAATACTTCATTTCAAAAGCAAATAAGATTATAAATATATAGGGTTGATTTGAACTCACA